GGATGGACCCCTTTTAATACAGAGACGTTGGGTTTAAGGAGCAGAGAGGCCCCATCTGGTGGGCAAAGAAAGCAAAGACAATTTCATTTAAATTTTAATTTTTTCCTTGTGTATAATTCATTAAGGAGCTCTGGTAGCACAGTGCCTAAGGCATCTGACTGCTAACCAGAAGGTTGATGGTTTAAACCTACCAGCCATTCCATGGAAGCAAGACTGGGCAGTCTACTTCTGTAAAGATTTACCACCTCAGAAACCCAATGGATGTTGCCATGAGTCGAAATTGACTCATTGGCAGTGGGTTTGGTTTTTGGTTGTGGTATAGTACATTTAGGAGCCCTGGCGGCACAGTGATTAAAGCACTCAGCTGCTAACTTGAAAGGTCGGTGGGTCAAACCCATCAGCTACTCTGTGGGAGAAAGATGTGGCAATCTGCTTCTGACGATTTACAACTTTGGAAACCCTATGAGGTACTTATACTCTGTCCTGTGGGAGCTCTGGTAGCATAGTGCCTAAGGCACTTGACTGCTAACCAGAAGGCTGGCAGTTCAAACCCACCAGCCACTCCTCGGAAGGAAGGTTGGGCAATCCTACTTCCGTAGTGATATTGCCTCGGAAACCCAAGGAGGGGTTGTTATGAGTCGGGGCTGACTCGATGGCAAATAACAACAACAACAACATACTCTGTCCTGTAGGGTCAGTCACTGTGATTCCAAATCACCTCCATGGCAGTGGGTTTTAGACAGTATGTTTAAGAAGCCCTGGTGGCACTGTGATTAAAGCACCTGGCTGCAAACCAAAAGGTTGGTGGTTCAACCCATCAGCCTGCTCCATGAGAGAAAGATGTGGCAGTCTGCTTCCATAAAGATATACAGCCTTTAAAATCCTATGAGGTAGTCCTGCTTTGTCCTGTAGGGTCACTATGAGTCAGAAACAACTCATCGGCAATGGGTTTGATTTTTTTGGATTTTTTTTTTTTAAATAAAAGCCAAATTCACTGCTGTTGAGTCAGATCTGACTCACAGAGACCCCTCCTTGGGTTTCCGAGGCAGTATCACTATGGAAGTGGATTGCCCAATCTTCCTTCTGAGGGGGTTTGAACTGCCAGCCTTCTGGTTATTAGTCAGATGCCTTAGGCATTACACCATCAGAGCTCCCTTTTTTGGATAGTACGTTTAAAAGTATTGTCAGATTTAAGTTTGCTTTTATGTTCAGAAAATCCTTTTCAACATCCAGATATGAACTATAAATAAAAACATTGCTGTCAAGTTGATTCTGACTCAGGAGCCCCATGTGTGTCAGAGCAGAATGTGTTGCATAGGGTTTTAAGGGGCTGATTTTTCAGGAGATTGGCAGACCTTTCTTTAGAGGCACCTCTGGGTGAATTTAAGCCTCCAGCTTTTTGGTTAGCTGCCAAGCATGTTAACAGTTTGTACCACCCAGGGGCTCCTAGTCACTTCAAATGTCAATTAGTTTATTATTTCTATTTTCATATAAATCTTTAATCCATATAGAATGTATTTTGCTGTGTTCTTTTCCATATAACCATTTTCCCTAACACTGTTTATTGAATGGTGATCTCCTTTGTTGATTGGAATGCATCTTTTAGCATATATTAAGTTTTTATATGTCTCAGGGCATATCCTTAGAGATCTTTCATTTGTTTGGTTTATCTATACTTTTGACTGTTTCATATTTTAGAAAATTACACCTTTACTCTATAGTACTTTTTGATACATAGCCAGGCTGTTCTTTCCTCATTACACTATAAAAAATGTAAACTATGTTTCAATCTATTAATCTAGGAAAACTTTAGAAATATCTTACAAAGATAAAAAAAAATAGGCATAAATATTTTAATTGAAATTACTTTAAAATCCCTCCTTTTTTTGTTTCTTGTATCTCTCAGTCTCATGGTTTAATATATATATGTATATATATATTCCCTATAGGTTTTATGGATTTCTTAAGGTTATTTATAATATTGATTTCCAGTTATATATTTTAATTATTGTTAATATATCAGAAAGTTAATTGAGTTTGGTATATTTATCATATATTTATCTTGGGTTTAGCTGTTTTCTTGTACTTTGTTACTAATTCCAGTAGCTTTTTGGTGAATTCTTTTTCATTTCCATGGCTATCATGTTATATATCACATTTTTTTTTTTAATGTATTTTATTGAAATACAATTTATATATAGTGAAACACACAAAACTAAAGTGACATGGGTCAGTGATTTTTTTTTTCTTTTTTGCAGTGTTCCCTCCCCTCCCCTCCTACCACTGGCAACCAACAAAGTTTTCTTCCCTATATAAACATTTCCTTGACCCTCCACAACAATGAACTAATACTATATCTGTCCTTCTGTGATTGACTTATTTCACTCAGCATAATGTCCTCCGAGTTCATACATATCATGCAGTGTTTTGCAGACTCTGCATTATTCTTTAGTGCTACATAGCATTCCATAGTGTGTACGTACTATCGTTTGGTCATCCACTCTTCCAACAGTAGGCACGAAGGTTGTTTCCATCTTTTTGCTATTGTAAATAGTGCTGTGATGAACATGGGTGTGCGTATATCTGTTCCTATCCTGGATCTCGCCTCTCCAGGATATATACCTAGCACTGGGACCTCTGGGTCACATGGTATCTCCAATTCCAGTTTTCTAAGGAATTGCCATTCTGCTTTCCACAGTGATTGTATCACTTCACAATCCAACCAGCAGTGTATGAGAGTCCCAATCTCTCCACATCCCCACCAGTATTTGTTATTTTCTATCTCATTGAACCTTACCATCAGTGCTGGGGTGAGATGGTATCTCATTGTTTTGATTTTCATGTCTCTGATAGAGTGATTGTTAGCATCTCTTCATGTATTAGTTGGCCACCTGACTATGCTCCTTAGTGAAGTGTCTGTTCATGTCTTCTGCCCATTTTTCATTTGGATTATGAATTCCTTTGCTGTTGTGAGGTGTTGGAGTGTTCTATAAATCTTAGAGTTAAGTCCCTTGCCAGATACGTAATTATAGACAAG